ACATTTACAACAAGCTTGTTTTGAGATTACGTTCGGCGTGACACTGGGTGTGGTGATTTTACTTTTTACGGGATTTTTATTTGTGTTCGGGATTCGAACAAGACAATAATAATATTACACGTTTTTTTTAAGTTATACTTCTTTGGGCGCGATATGAGAAATTGATGAGAGTGAAATTTTACGATGCGCGCGCACCGTGACATAAAATTAACAGAATGAAGTTCCCCACTAAATCGCTCCTTACAATACGACCGACGTAACTTGGCGAGTCTGAATATAGCCGCAGGTGAACTTTCCGAACCGTACCGAGAATTACCGAATTTATACGATGTCAAGAAAAGGGATATCCAATATGCGTGTTTGAGGATGTTGTTTAATCGATATTTTTTCAAATTGATTAAAATTTAAATAAAATAATAAAAATAAAGTATAACTTCTTACGCGCGTACGTAAGTACACGCACCCTTTTTTTTGTTCTTTTCAGACCGTTTTCGTATTTACGAATCTATCTTCGTTATTCAAATATTCTATTATTATAATAATTAATATGCTGTCAACAAAAACATGGCCCTTCATTGGTATTTGCAAACGCGTCAATTGGGTTTTTAGGGACTCGGAAAACAAATGAAAATGAAAACTTGACGTCTCGTGAACACCAGTGCAAAAAAATATTGAATTCATAATGTTTTTATAATACATCGCAAAGGTAATAAATAAAATATATGAAAATCATCAGCCACTAAATCTAAAAAAAACACAGGGTTGTAAGTCTCTGTTACGAATATGGTATTTGATACGCTAATTCTAAAACGGAATTGTACGGGTCCTATGCAAATGAACTGGCTAGAACTTTTATTGTTAAACGCTTTGAAATCTAATATCCAAGACAATTTTTGTTAAATAAAAATTTGCACTCACATTAAATGTTATGATTTGAATGAATCAAACACACGTGTATGAAATACCCCCCGGCGAGTTCTGTTCGTGTTTTGATAAATGCACTAAAAACGTGCTTTGCTTGTGGAAACTACACGATGCGAGAATCTAAACATAACGCATCATTCATTTTCTGTTTCTGTCACACACTTGTTTATTCTTCTTTTATTGTATTTCAAGTCTAACATTGCGATTTTCCTTTAAAAAAAAAAACAACTTCTAAAATTATCATTTACTTAATTCAAATTATTTTTGATCATCTTATTTTGTGAATGTGTTTTTAAAAGATTTTTTTTATTGGCCTTTCCTGCTGGAGGCGACTTTGTCGCGACCATTAAAACGACACTACGAAGGCCCTAGCTGACAGCTCAACAATAATGACAGCTAATAAAACGATCGAACAACAATCATTCCACAATGATTTAGAAGCCAACACTAAGGTAAATATATAATATAAATATGGTAAGGCGACATAAATTTCTAGAATTTCTACAACAGTCGTCTACAGATTTACATATACATTCCAGTAAAACCTTAGCATGGTTTTTGTGGGTGCGTTTAAAAACGCCAATCACGACAAATAAGACTGGAGTGATTTAAATGTAAAATTATGTTTCATTTTTTGTTTTCTTGTTAGAAGTCGTCGTGGCCTAAAGGATTAGACATCTGATATATTCCTATCGAAGGCTGCGACCGGGCCGGGGTTCAAATCCCACAGGCAGCTACTAAGGTATTTATAATAAAAAAAACGTAATTAACACGTGCTCAGGAATAACTTCAGCAATGAAGGATTAACATCGTGTAAAAAAACCCGTAATAATTATCATTTCTGTAACAGTGCGCAGTGGCAGAGCGTTTGTAAGCCCATAAGGGCAGGCCTCCACCCTGTCTAGTGCCTATTTCTGCCGCGAAGCAATCATACGTTCTGATGTGAAGAAGTTTAGGCGAGAGATTATTAAGTCAAAATCTTGATTCTATTCTATAATAGGTTTCCCACCCTAAGCTGGTATCCGTAACTGCATAGCGGCAGAAATATGAAGAATAGTTGTATTTAATTATGCGGGTTCTTCAATGGAAACTCAGTGCCAACCCCAACTATAGCTTGAGTCTTAATAATAACTTAACAATAAATGAGTATATGAACGTTCAGTGCTAAATATTTTTAACATTTCTGAATGTTAATTATGAAACATATAGAAAATGCAATAAAGAAATGTAGATAAATAATAGATAAACCTTTGTCATATTCTTTCAGCTTGGAAATAAATAATTTTCCTCTTTTTAAGCTATATGCAAACAATTTAGTTAGCAAAAAATACGATAACTTTCCAAGAAAGAACACTTAATGCATTCAATCATTGAAAACATGAACACAAATTGGCGTTAATTATAATACAATATTCCGTTGAAGTGTGCCTACACCTTTACAAAAGGCGTTGCAACCACAAAGAAATCGTGACCTCCGCCTTATGCCACGTTGAGGGCGCTAATACAACCTATCCGCGAATACCTCGTCAATATCAAAATGTACCTCGACACCAAAGCCACTACTTAATTGAATGCCCACCGAAATTAGCCGCTTTATTATGTTATAATTACATAGTCTGCATTGAGTCTGTAGTTTTTATTTATTAACAATAGTACAATAGCTTTATGTCCGTAATTGGAGGAATTTTTGTTCACCCTTTTTTGTATTGCACTGTGGCACTATTTAATATAACTATGTATGTCTTACGTTTTGTTTCTCTGTGTGCTAGTGTTAAAAGTCCCGTGTCAATAAAAATGTTTAAAGGTTTTATTCCTTTTTTATTCTACTAACTACTACTACTACTACTTTATTACTGGTGGAAGGACCTCTTGTGAGTCCGCGCGGGTGGGTACCACCACCCTGCCTATTTCTGCCGTGAGCAGTAATGCGTTTCGGTTTGAAGGGTGGGGCAGCCGTCGTTACTATACTTGAGACCTTAGAACTTGTATCTCAAGGTGGGTGGCGCATTTACGTTGTGGATGTCTATGGGCTCCAGTAACCACTTAACACCAGGTGGGCTGTGAGCTCATCCACCCATCTAAGCAATAAAAAAAAAAAAAGATAGATTTTACGTTTTGGTTATTTTTATTACTCTAGATGAGTTGATGGATCCTATTGATGGCTTGATGGCTTAGTAATTAGAGAAAATTATACAAGAAGACAAATCACACAAACTTAAAGTGTCGATTGCACTGTATAAGGGCTGATCCATTTTTCAAACTAAAGCCCATGATTATCTCTATCATGAAAATTTTTAGGATATTTACATATCTACTTTTACGGCTTAATCTTTCGTTTTTATTGTCATTTTATTATTTCCTATATTTCGAATATTTTACAGTTGTCACGGTCACGAACGACTATGGAGGACTTTCTTATTCATCGACCCTTCCACGAAGCACTGCTCTTGCTAGGGCCAGTGTTAGCAACACTCCGGTTTCAACCCCGTGAGGTCACCTACACGTCAAGGAGAAGCTGAAATATCACCTCAAGGCTATCAGCATAGGTAGGTGTAAAAAAAATCGACCCATGAATATTGTGCTAACTACCCTCTATTTTTGTTACTGTAGGGTATTACAAAAGCATGTAAGTATGTATAAAAACTAATCAGCTTGTTAAGGATTGCACTAATTAAAAGATGGGCGTTATTGGTGATCCATAGAATACGCTGAACACGATAACAGTAGGATTACACGTGTATTGTTAAAATATGTGAGGCTAAAAAGTGATATAATGAAATTATATTTCATATTTAAGATACCGCATATGCTCTGAAACGCACAAAGGATTCTTATAAATGAATGCCAATATTCGCATATGAAAGTCTCATTGCAACGGTTTGGTCCTACAAAATAAAATTCGGATATAAAATACCTATAAGTCTCAAATACTAAGTGTTTTGAATGTCTTAAAACGTTCGTCACAAGTCAATTCTGTAATAATTCGTAAATACCCAAATATAGGTAATAGTGGCCGCTTCACACAGTCTTCGATGAATATGTAATTTTATGATATTAATAGTAGCATAATTTAGCATAAATTTTCTTAAGTTGAGGAATGTTCGTTTTCTTAAAAGATATACGTCACATTTCGGTAAGCACCACATTGCCTTTACATTTTTTATTTATTGCTTAGATGGATGGATGAGCTCACAGCCCACCTAGTGTTAAGTGGTCATCGAGACACCACCTCGAGAAATAGGCAGGGTGGTGGTACATACCCGTACACGGACTCACAAGACGTTCTACCACCAGTGAAATGTAAATATATACCCATCATAATGCGGTAATCACAGCAAATCAATGCGCTGTTCCCCCGCTCACCCTATTCCTAAATTATTCAGTGTTGCCAACATTACACTCACGCCCAATAAAACATACTTCAAACGTTCAGCAATGGCCGACCTAACCCGTTTCCCTTTGTTACATATTTCATTGGTTTGTGCGAAGGGTTGTCAAAACAAGTGAGGGTCATTCCGGCCCCAGTGGGATGAGAAATAATAATCCGCTGTCACCCGGCCCATTCAGGGCTTTGAGCAGATTGCGGACGACTTTATTACGCGTGTTTTTGTGGGCTGCTCAGTCAATTATATGTGCTTACCCTATTTCTGATGGTACATTTCTATCGGCTTATAGTTTTATAGAAGTAAACATGCACCATTAAATTCTTCACTTATTGCACGACGGTTTTATGAAGATTCTATCCAGATAAAGAGTTGGATAAAATGTATAATCCGACATAGATATTTTACTGGTGGTAGAACCTCTTGAGAGTTCGCGCGGCTAGGTACCACCACCCTGTTTATTTCTGCCGTGAAGCAGTAATGCGTTTCGGTTTGGAGGGTGGGGTTGCCGTTGTAACTATACCTGAGACCTTAGAACTTACATCTCAAGGTGGGTGGCGCATTTACATTGTAGATGTCTATGGGCTCCAGTAATCACTTAACACCAGGGCTGTAAGCTCATCCACCCACCAAAGCAATAAAATAAATAAAAAACTTTACGCCAGGTCAGTAACTTAGCACCAAATTACTGACCTGGCGAACTTGCTTGTACTGTTCCTCGAAGCTCCATCCAGCGGCACTGCCTTCGGACGATGATGACGAAGCAGAGCCCACTGGTTGTGCTGGAGGCGGTGGTGCTGGAGCTAAGAACGCAGGTGGTGCGTATGGGAAACCACTAGCCGGTACTGCTCCGGCTAGAGCAAAGACACTGTTGGATGTTGACAGTGGAGCCCCTTGGGCTAACGAAGCTAAAGAGGAGAGATGGGGATGTAGTGAAGTTTTGAGGGACTCGAAGTCGTCTCGTACCTGAACGAAAAAGAAAATTTACTATAATTCAATATTTAAAACTAACTTATTATTTGTCTACAGTTTCTTTATTTATGAATGTTGCTAAATTGAATGCGTTTTTGTTTGAATATCGTAATCATAAGGCAATAAAAAAAGTGTAATAGAGTAATACTGGTGGTAGGACCGCTTGTGAGTCCGCACGGGTAGGTACCACCGCCCTGTCTATTTCTGCCGTGAAGCAGTAATGCGTTTCGGTTTGAAAGGCGGGGCAGCCGTTGCTACTATACTGAGACCTTAGAGCTTATACCTCAAGGTGGGTGGCGCATTTACGTTGTAGATGTCTATGGGCTCCAGTAACCACTTAACAACCAGCTTGGCTGTGAGCTCGTCCACCCATCTAAGCAGTAAAAATAAAAAAGAGTAAAAAATTTATTTTAGTATTAAAAACCTTAAATAAAAATAATTTATGCATACTTTTAGTTCCCTTTCAAGAGGCCTCGGCGAATTCCTCTGATGCTGATGTGTGATTTGGTGGTTTATCTGCTGGTGCACTGGGGCATGATGGCTCATATTGTGGGCTTGCTGATGTGGCTGATGGGAAAGTGCCTGTGGTAGCTGTTGGTGGGGCTGGTGCACCTGATGACCGGAAAGGGCCTGGTGATTGGGTGCGTCGCGACTGACACCCTCGTCTGAACTCTCACAAGACTGGTCTCCCGACGTGTCTCCTTCTGAACGCGCAGACTGTAGACAAAACCCCTACAAGTTTAGTGCAAATATTATTCCACGAATCGATACGAGAAATACACAAACAACAACACAGGAATAGAACAGTTACAACAACTTTTTTTTTTTTTTTTTTTTTTTTTTTTTTTTTCTACCTATGCTGATAGCCTTGAGAGGCTATTTCAGCTTCACCCTAACGTTTGTAGGTGAGCTCGCGGGGCTCAACCGGAGAGTTGCTAACACTGACCCTAGCAAGAGCAGTGCTTCGCAGAATCTACCACCGGATCGGAAACGCGACCCACTGAGAAGATCCGGCGAGAAACTCAGTGGGCNCTTTTTTTTTTTTTTTTTTTTTTTTTTCTACCTATGCTGATAGCCTTGAGAGGCTATTTCAGCTTCACCCTAACGTTTGTAGGTGAGCTCGCGGGGCTCAACCGGAGAGTTGCTAACACTGACCCTAGCAAGAGCAGTGCTTCGCAGAATCTACCACCGGATCGGAAACGCGACCCACTGAGAAGATCCGGCGAGAAACTCAGTGGGCAACAACAACAATTCTTATATTAATATAGACTACAGGATGACCGAGCTTTGCTCGGTTTCTTTTATTTTATAAATTGTATTTTTGAGAAATTATATTTAAATTCGAATTACATATTTATAATATATATGATTATACTATTTGCTATTTTATTTCAATTAAAAAAAAAGTTTATGTTTAAGTTGATTATCGAAAAAGCTAATTATTGAAAACACGAATCAAAACAACATTTTCTGAAAATAAATCGTAGCTAGATCGATTTATCGCTCCCGAAATCCCCTGTATACTAAATTTTATCAAAATCGTTGAAGCCGTTTCCGACATTCAGATTATATACATATGTATATTTATCTACAAGAATTGCTCGTTTAAAGATATAAGATTGCGTTTTTTCTTCAGATTTACGGGTAGAAAATCTTTTCTAGTTTTGTGGGCCAAAACAATTGAGATTTGTTACGTATCAAGCCCCAAGAAAGCCGTTGCTTGAAGCTCAAAAAGCTTTTGATAAGGTTTCCTATCGGACCACATATTCTAAGTGCACGAATGCGAGGACTTCTAAAACTTCTACGATATACAGATGGGTGTATCACACGATTCTGTGCTGGGATCTTCCCTATACACGCTGCTACATTCAAAGATGACATTACTGGTCAGTACAGAGTACAGTGGGCTGTGTCTATAGGAAAAAACATGTTATTCAGGTACTGAATATAGGAAATTAACAAAATAATAGGAAAATATTTTCAGCTGGGAATCTTTCAAAATCCACCTGTAAAGAATCCGTCCTAAGACTGATCTCAGATAAATACTAAGCAAAAAAAATATGGCGACAGCCATTACAATGTGACCACGGAAACTATAAATGATTTGTAGGGTCTGAGTATCTATAAGCCGTATCATGTATCTGCAACCCGCGATACTCTGACAAAATACGATATCTCAACACTTTCAAAGTAAGCACCTTCTCTGATCCAATCTTCTTATAATACTACCTAACATCTGTTTTTACGGTACAATAACAAAGGAAAAACAAACTACTTAAAACCCATTATCGTAAACATATCAAACTTCAATTTTGATCTATCACTAACATCGCGTTGCACAGTTTGTAACTAATTAGAAAAACAAGATGTAATATTTCGTTGGATTCAATTCCGATAGAAAATTTGTTTACGTAGCGTTACATAAATAATGAGCGCGGCCACGAATCGCCTCAGGAGTTAAATTTGTTCAATTATTTGCATTATTTAAATTGCAATTGGTGACGATGGTAAAACAGATGGTCGCCACAAAATATGATACCTGAATAAAATCATTATTTACACTATAACAGTTACAAACTCTTAACTTAGTTATAAACTCTTAACTGGTGGTAGAACCTCTTGTGAGGCGGGTGGTAACCACCACCCTGCTTATTTCTGCCTAATTCGTTTCGGTTTGAAGGGTAGGGCAGCCGTTGTAACTATACTTGAGACTTTAGAACTTATATCGAAAGGTGGGTGGCGCATTTACTTTGTAGATGTCTATGGGCTCCAGTAACCACTTAACACCAGGTGAGCGGTGAGCTCGTCTACACATCTAAGCACAAAAAAATTTTTTAACACAATATCGAAAATTTTGTAATCAAATCACATTTTCTGTAAAAACAAGCGTTTGAAAATGCCTCTATTTTATTTCTATTCATACGAAAAATCAACCAACTATTAACGTGATCGTAACCTGCAGACGTACTGCAAATCTATTTTAAACTTGAATGAACAACGATACAAAAAATATTATAGCAACAACTCGAGTTTAACTGGTACACAAACCGTATCATTTAGCGAGGACGTCTCTCATATAGACGTAAGTACAGTGGGTCCTGTCCAACCTCGCACGTAATATTTCATTCCATTACAAGGAACAGATGCCCGTAATGACTATGGCGAACCGGTTCCATTATTAAACCTTTTAAAGTTCCATCGGAATCAATATAAGGAACTGGAGAGTCCACGATCAAATTGCCGCCGAGTATGTTTCGCAGTCGCCGCCACGGCCCCCGGCCCACAATTACGACATTAAAAATTATTATTTTATTTCGATTTTTATTTATTATTCGCATTATTATATTGTGTGGAGTTATTATCGGTGAAATGTTTCGTTCGGATAAACGTTGTGAGAGACACGCAAGCCTTCCCCGACGCCTGAGTTTTAGAGTTCCTCCGGTTTATATAACAAGGACTCGCTCTGAATAATATTTTTTTACACCGTCGCCTCCAGTAATAGAACGTTTTTAATTTTGAAACTTGTTCGAGAAGTAAGCGAGAACTATGAATGAACCACGAGAAAATTACTGTTACACAAATTTAAACTTCGAATGACGTGTGTTCATTAACTTTGAATTGTTGACGTATTTTTCATTACTTTTTTCTAATTTTTATTTATAACTAGCTGACCCGGCAGACTTCGTAGTGCCTCAATCGATAAATAAAAGACTTAAATTTTTGTAGAAAATAAACTTAAAACAAACAAAAGGAATCCGTCCGACGGGGGACACATCAAAAGGAAAAACTAAATTGTTATTTTTATTTAATTCCGACCATTTTCATATTTATCTACCTTTTAAACCTTCTCTGGACTTTCACAAATAATTCAAGATCAAAATTAGCCAAATCGGTCCAGCCGTTCTCGAGTTTTAGCGAGACTAACGAACAGCAATTCATTTTTATATACATATATAGATTAAGACACCTTATTTTGCTGCGAATAACTCGTTTGTTCCGGTTCGTGGGGTAGGACAGACGTACCACAATACAATTGAGACTTCACTATAATTAAAACGCCCGCGTGTATAACACTACTATACTAAGAGACATACAGAACCTTATATAATTATACAACTTCGCGTATCCAACCAACATGTCGGAGGCTTTTCACGTGGATCAAGTTCGCTACTGAATAATTTTTGCCTTTTATATCTTCTTTTTAACTCAACCCCAATTTTATTTGAACGTTAAATCAATAAAATGAGGCGTTTAGTACGATTTTTTTAAGAGTTCATGTACCTTATAAAATTCACCGCATTAAGAAAACAAAACAAACAAACACGCGAACGAACTAAAACGTGTTATATATTATTATCGTGTGATGAACTGTAAAAATCAACAGTCACTCGCGTACCAATAAGTAGGATAACGTTAGCGCGGAACACGTGCTAATTCTAAAATAAATAGAATCAAACCAAGTCGTACGCATCGTATGGATCGCTCTGCGCGTGATTTTATAATAATATATTAGCTGTAAGTTTTCTGGTGACCCAATGAAAGGTACTCTCAGAGCAATGTCCACATAACCGGGATTTCTCTGAGCTAACACGGCCCACGGTTGTCGGTCGGGCCGGATTGAAAAAGTTTTCGAATTAACGCGCCTAGTATACTAGTGTTACACTTTAAATCGTGACCTTAGAATGGAAACGGAAAGTGAAAGAATCCGACCATCGGTACCATTAAGCAGCTCCGATGCTTATTATTTAAACAAACACGGAATGAAACTGATGCCGTTCTCAGAAGTATACCGAAACTCAACCCGCTGCACGGTAATCAGGAGGACACACCATTGATTAACGCCTTCTACTAAAACACATACAGAGTAAATTCTTACAAATTTATCAAATTAAATTGTCTTGTTTTCCCTTAAAATAGAACAGTCCTTTTCTATCAATGAAAAAGAATATCACACTACATAGTATAAAACAAAGTCGCTTTCTCTGTCCCTATATCCCTATGTATGCTTAAATCTTTAAAACTACGCAACGGATTTTGATGCGGTTTTTTTTAATAGATAGAGTGATTGAAGAGGAAGGTTTATATGTATAATAACATCAATTAAATAGTGGAGAAATACTGTTATCAATAATAAATGACAGTTCCCTAAGCGAAACGAGGGTGGGTCGCTAGTAAACTAATAAAGAATATAAGAAAAAGAATGTAACAATTCGAATCGTTATTCACTGCACTTTATACGTGACAATAAATAAAAAAATCGATTTGAAAACTGAAATAGAAAATCGATGCATCGCCTGCCACAATGTATTTAGTATTTGTTATAGAAATCGTAATCGTGTTCATGCGAGTAAATTTTATGAGTCGAAATCAAATAGAAACTTGTAATGAAAGATGTCGTTTGCGTCCAACATGTTTGGTATGCAATACAAACAACTATCGGTAGGTAATAAAATATTGAACATAACGCTGTTAATGTCTCGAGATATTTTGAAGCAGGATGAAAACATTGAAGAGGGTTGTGTAAAATAATTAATTCGAGAATTATGTCTATATCAATTTAATCGTGAAGCATTAATTGAAAGAGTTTTAAATGCGACTATCAACGAAAGAGTGCATAAGATAAGAAAGAGGTTTTATTATACACAAAATAAATAAAAAATGCAAAATATTCAATACAGAAAAAGTACAATTGATGGTCTTATCGCTAAGAGCTTATCGCTTTTCGCTAAAAT